GGCACCGAGTGTGGGGGTATGTTCCCAGTGACGTCACTGGAATTACCACTATCAGTGACGTCCCAACACCAGGGCCCTATTCCTGAAAGTACAGCGGCCAAATGAAGCTAGTTACCCACTTCCTGACGATCTTCCTCTCATGCCACCTGCCAAACACTCTACCATTCCGACAAAGTAAACAGGGCGTGTTAATGTGGACCCTTGTGTTGTCGAGTGGTGTGAGGACCTCCGCAGCGATAAGGTTATCTTGACATATCAATAGTGCTATAGGTGATCTTGACATCGAAATAAGGATATAGGTTCTCCTAAAGTCGCCCTCATCATGTGGGTTATCTTGAAATCGCAATACATGTATCAACCTAATGATACAGGTCATCTGTTTATCACTGATATAGGAGAACCTGGCATCTCCATAATGACGCGTGTGATCCCAACATCTCCATAGTGACGTGTGATCTCGAACATCCATGTGATCCTAATATAGTGACGTGTGTGATCCCAACATCTGTGATCCCAACATCTCCATAGTGACGTGTGTGATCCCAACATCTCCATAGTGACGTGTGTGATCCCAACATCTCCATAGTGACGTGTGTGATCCCAACATCTCCATAGTGAAGTGTGTGATCGCAATATCTCCCTAGTGACGTGTGTGATCCCAACATCTCCATAGTGACGTGTGTGATCCCAATATCTGAATAGTGACGTGTGTGATCCCAACATCTCCCGTAGTGATCCCAACATCTCCGTGAAAGTGTGTGATCCCAACATCTCCATAATGACGTGTGTGATCCCAACATCCCAACATCTGCATAATGATCAACATCTCCATTTGTGATCCCAACATCTCCACAGTGAAGTGTGTGATCCCAACATCTCCATAGTGACGTGTGTGATCCTAATATCTCCATAGTGACGTGTTATCGCATTATGTCCACAGTGACGTGTGTGATCCCAACATCTCCATAATGACGTGTGTGATCCCAACATCTCCATAGTGACGTGTGTGATCCCAACATCTCCATAGTGACGTGTGTGATCCCAACATCTCCATAATGACGTGTGTGATCCCAACATCTCCATAGTGAAGTGTGTGATCCCAACATCTCCATAGTGACGTGTGTGATCCCAACATCTCCATAGTGACGTGTGTGATCCCAACATCTCCATAGTGAAGTGTGTGATCCCAACATCTCCATAGTGACGTGTGTGATCCCAACATCTCCATAGTGACGTGTGTGATCCCAACATCTCCATAGTGACGTGTGTGATCCCAACATCTCCGTAGTGAAGTGTGTGATCCCAACATCTCCATAGTGAAGTGTGTGATCCCAACATCTCCATAGTGACGTGTGTGATCCTAATATCTCCATAGTGACGTGAGTGAAGCTGATATAAGTGTACTGTTACTGGTGACCATGAGAACACCGCAATGCTTATCCCCATTCATATTACCCATCCACCTGAGCGACAAAGCGATATCCAATACTTCCACAGTGTCACAAATTAATCTAAACGCGCTGTGTGGGGCCTCTGTTTTCTCATATTGAGTTCCTCTCCGTGGTGCACAGGCCCCAACCCCTACAGTAAAGTGCATCCTGCAGATGAAGACTATGCTCCATCGTCAGGCCTCCACTACAACAGATGATGTAACTGAACCGCCGGGTAAAAGGAAGAAAACACACATGTTTGACGGGACTGAAAGTGAATCGAACAAGCAATATTTATTGGATGGTGATGTAGTTTATATGTGTCTCATAGTTTGGTGTCTCATGGCTGCGACCTGGTAGTTTTCACACTTTTAACTTTCTGATCACGTTACGACGTTTTTGTCAAATCCAACATTTAAGGTATTATTTCATGGTCTGCCGTTGTGCGCGCTGTTGGTTGGATGGTTGTTTGTTTAACGCCGCACTCAGCGATAGTCCAGCTGTACGGCAGCGGTCTGTAAAGAATTGAGTCTGGACAATCCAGTGATCAACAGCATGAGCATCAATCATGAGTCAACAAAGTCAGCGAGTCTAACCACCCGATCCCGTTAGTCGTCTCTTTCGACAAGCATGGGCTGCTGAAAACCCATTTTTACCTCTATCTTCACCGGTTGGTTAAGATTAAGAGATTGTTGTTATGTAATCACGATATTTGTACTCAAAAGGCTACCTACATACAATGAACAATGATTGTCAGGTCGTGTATAGTATCTAAGGCACTCGTAGTTCGCTGAAAAGAGGCACGCCACAAACCTATGATCGCGCGTTCGAATCCCATTTCGAACCGATTGTGTTTTTCGGTTGCTCAGTTACATACGATTTGAGTGAGTAGGTTTAAAACCATTTCAATCCAACTTGTCGGGGACCGCCTCCGTGGTGTAATGGTTAGAGCGTCGGCCCAGAGAGAGGAAGGTCGCGGGTTCAATCCCCGACCGCGTCATACCAAAAGACATTAAAATATGGTACTTGCAGTTGGTCCCTGCCTGGCGCTTGGCATTAACGGGTACATCGAGGACTGGTCGGCTCGGAGTCAGTATAATGTGTCTGAGTGGGGTATTCATGCTTCACTGCGGCATGCTATCTCAGTGGGCTAGCACTATAAAACCAACTTCAGTCTGGGCTAGTACAAGCAACCGCACATACACATACACACGCATGCACGTCGTCATATGAGCGAAATATTCTCAAGCACGACGTTAAACCTAATTTCACCTCACCGCCTCACCTCCAACTTGTCGGGACTGCCAGTTGTTTCAAGTCTAGTTCCCCTTTAACACCCCGTTAGATGAATCTCCAGTACATCTCTCTCCGCTGGAGAAGATACACTGCAGGCCAGATCGCCCGCCGGGGATGGGGCAGACTGCTTTCATCTGCTGGAGTGCTGGGCAGAAGACCTCCTCTATTAGTCCATGTTTTACATCTAATTATCTCCTCGATCTGAAAACAAGGCCCTACCATCTTAGAGGTTCACAGTCTCCGAAACTAGAGCAAGGAACTGGGCTTCTCTATCTCCAACTTACATTCACCAGTAGTTAATCAGACCATCAACGACGCCAACGTGGCCATAGGCTATCGCTACTCAGAATTCCACACTGTGAATGCAGTGCTTTGTGGGTAGCAAACACTACAATCTCGGGAATCAAAGTCTCGTGTGACCCACGCGAGATCAGCCATCAGCATACCGTGGCATCGACACACAGTATGCACAGAGCCAGGAGGATCTGACCCAACACAATGCGAAACCCCGGCAGATACGGCACCTTGGTGTGGACGGGACATTCTGGCACATACGGCACCTTGGTGTGCAGGGGACATACTGGCAGCAACGGCACCTTGGTGTGGAGGGGACATACTGGCTTACGGGTGTGGAGGGGACATACTGGCAGATACGGCACCTTGGTGTGCAGGGGACATACTGGCAGATACGGCACCTTGGTGTGGAGGGGACATACTGGCAGATACGGCACCTTGGTGTGCAGGGGACATACTGGCAGATACGGCACCTTGGTGTGCAGGGGACATACTGGCAGATACGGCACCTTGGTGTGCAGGGGACATACTGGCAGATACGGCACCTTGGTGTGCAGGGGACATACTGGCAGATACGGCACCTTGGTGTGCAGGGGACATACTGGCATATACGACACATCGGTGTGCAGGGGACATACTGGCAGATACGGTACCTCAGTGTAACGTCATAATACCGCCAACAACGTAACAAACTGTAGCTAAAGGGCGACATCAACCGAAACTCAGACACCTCCAGTAACACATGATATAAGTTAGTCAGGGTAGAATACCCTTTTTGAACAATAGACCAGAGTTATAGCTACTACCACTTTAGATGCAGCTTAAACATCTGGCGATATACACCCGATGGCTGTACAGGAGGATGTATGTCTCGTTTAATGGTTACAACACAAGCAGAAGGGGTCGTTGGCTATTTCAAGGCCCCACAATCTGCTGTTCTGTCTCAAATATCCGTTGATTATGGGCCGAATCCCATTATGATCACTGGTTTGAGGGAACCCAGACCGTGCTTGGTGTTTCAGGACAATGTGGTGTGATAGGAACACTGGTGTAGCAAGTGATGAGACAAAAATTGTTTTTTAATAAATCAGGATCTAACACAATATGAATAAAATACAAATGACCAAATATCTAGGTCATCGAGGCTTATTGTAAAGGGTCCAAACTGGGAAAGTCATTGTAAAAGAATTCAGCCCAATTAGATAAATGAATCTCTGCTAATTAAGAAACTTTGAACACCCGATGTAAAGAAAGGATATTAAATACAAGGATAGGGGAACTACTGCATTCAGAACAACGGCAAGGCACCTTTATAACATTGCTCGTGGAAATGTAATTTCTTGCCGTGAAAGGAACGTGAAATGACATGAAAACAACATACTATGAAATTGCAAATATTTCTTTATATTAGCTGTCCAAAGTGTGATATTTACATTACACTATATGTACAGTACCTATGTATAATGGCATGATATTTACAGTCGAGACGACACCGGCGCGCCATCCCCACTTATCCAGCCTCCTAGCATACCGCCGTGCTCTGACGTACATGGTGACCACGTGTTTCCGCTAGACCGTCAGTCTGTATGTTGGTTTAAGCGCTGGTTTCCCTGCTCAAGTAAATAGAGGATACTAAACGACCTTCCTTGTAATGCCATTCTTATTAAACGAGTTAATGATTTGGTATCAAACGAGCGAAAGCGAGTTTGATGCTAAATCTTTCACGAGTTTAATATAAATGGTATTTCACGGAAGCGAGTTTAGTATTCTGTTTATTACTCTCCAACATAAACTGATAGAAACTGCCTACAGTGTGATGACTCTCAGCTTTCCACGAGTCAATCAAGGTCTAATACCATTGTGACAGATGTATTAGCATTGTGACGTCATAATTGTAAAGCATTATGGCGTCAGATGTCTAGCGGTATTACACAAGTGTAATATTGCCGTAAAAATATTACACTGCACTATCTTCCACGCGAGTAATAACAAGTATTATCTGACGAATGCTTCAGGGCTATCCGTATACATTGACCAGAACTATCACGTGATTAAAATTCTTCCTACTTTCTCTCATTTCTGAGAGTTCCATTAATCCAGTTTTGTCAGGAACGAAATAACACGAACGATGCAACAATATTACATTTACAACATTGATCTGTACAACCTTAGACACCTGGTTATTGTACAAGCTGTTGTCTTGAGCGACTTGGGTCAACGATCAAACCAAAGATTCTGTTAACTCCGCTGACACTCGGCAATCTCCGGTGGTCATAGGTGGCAGGTCGACTTATGATAACATTTGCGTCAGCGAGAAACTCCCTTTGTCAAACACATTATAACTGTGTTGTAAGCAGTGCTATAATATGCCACGTGGTTATGACAGCACAACACTACACCTATATTATACACACATATGTACAACATTAATATGCATCACATTTGATGTAACGGAAATACTCTACTTCCGGCGCTGCCAATCAACCGGAACAAGAATTCCCGCATGTTCACCTTCCATGCCTTGATCGCCAATGGTTACAGCATGGGGCCATAGTTACCTGACTACACAACAAGAGCCCTCTATATACCAAGTCCGCATATTTTGAATAGCTGTTATGCATATGTCGTATCAGCGCCACTTGGTGTCCCGTGAGGCTATACACCTTGATTCACAGCATCCTTGTAGTCTGGTTAAGGTCGTCCTACTCAACATCCGCAATAGCACGAGTCTGTGATGGGGTACGGCACCTTCACCCATTTACATCTCTTCCCGAGTTTAACATGGCGTCCCCTGTGGGGTCTCACCCACCCTTCTGTGTCATTGGAGTCGTCATCCGCTTTCCCGCCATGCTTTGAGGGTCGCCTGCCACGACCTCTGTTCCCCCGCCACGGTCGACAGTGCCACCTGAGAATCTTGATTCGTCGTGATTTAGTGGGGATACAGTGCATCCCCGGCGGCCAGGAACAGGAAGGAGTCCCTACACACTCACCACGCTTAATCCAGCGCGGCCAGAAGAAGCTACCGAGGTCCTCCCAGAGGTAGTGTACTGGGCACGACGCCCTCCGGACCAGCCAAGACTGCATCGCTTGTATCACCGACTGGTTCAGCTGGAGTTGAATGCCGTTGATGTCGGTCAGGTCGATGTCGAGTCTCTGCACGGCGTCCACGGTGTCGTCTTGTACTTGTTGAACTATCACTTCGTTAACAAGGCTCGGTCTTTCGACAGACATGAAGTTTTTGTCAAAATCCCCAGAAAGTCTTTTCATGAGTTTGTGTGTCTTGAGATGTTTCTTTCTGGGTTTGAGTCTGAGAAGGTCAGAATCACGGGTGGGTATCTTCAACATCAGCCCATGGGATGCAGGGTTCACGGAGAGTGGAGGCTGTATAGCCCTTCTCAGGAACGGCGGCATGTCGCCTACAACGTCACCAAGCAACTGGACGCCCACAACCACCGACATCACACTGTGAACAACGTCATTCACCCTCATCGTGAGCCTCTGCAACATACAGAAATATAAGTTCAGGCTCATGGCATCATTTTAAAAAGATCAGAGTGGGCAAGGATTGGCTGATTAACGATTTGGTGACATTCCATGAAACGTGCCTTTCATGAGACACGGCAAGGTTAATACCAGAGCGACGTGTTTCACGCAGACAACCAAAGCTCACAGCAACAACAGTTGTCCTAAAAAATCAAAGGTGCGAGTCTGAAGATGAAGATACAAACAGTGACATTAGGAAAATGTAATGACTAATACCTATGCAGTTATCTCCCTTTGTTCACAACGGTAGTCGTCCGTTAGACGTTTTACGGACTAAGGTTTTTTATAAAGACGCAGACAGCCTGGTTGTGTTGAACACACAGCTGGCATCGGGATAGTCTGTCTCACAGTCCCTGAACCACATTAATATTATTTCCCCTACTTCCTAGCCCTCCCTGCAGTGCTAAAGCCCTAAATGAAGCAAGTCTAGATTTCCTCAGGTTGTGAATCTGTGGTCACCCTGGGGCTCCTTTTCAATTTAAATGGGTTCGTTTGTTACTATCAAAATTATATATATTCAGTGACTAAGCGTTAGTCTAACATCGGGCTAACTCCGATCGGAGTCGGCATGGCTGCCAGATGACAGGGGGATAGGGAGGGAGGGGAGAGAGAATGTGTGGAGATGAAAGTCGGAGTACGCACCTGCTACTTACAGAAGCAAATTCAAAATAAACATGGGAATGATGAAAAACACAAGTAAAACAATTCCCGTTATATAAACGTCACAGCACGTGATATTCTATGATTCATTAGTTATGGTCTAACGTATTTGTCTCCACTTAGGCGGAAGTCTGACAAAAAGAAAAAGTGAAAGTATATTGGTCTGCAAATCCTGGCTGTTCAGAGAACATAGAACACTGACACATGTGGGTATTCAGATGTGATTTAAACATATATGTATTCAAGAGAATGGAATGCGTATAAGTTATTCCAACTTAGTGAAACCCTCTCCTAAACATGCAGAGAACATAGAACACTGAAACATGTGACTATTCAGAGAACATAGAAAACTGACACATGTGACTATTCAGAGATCCTAGAACACTGACACATGGGACTATTCAGAGAACATAGAACACAGACACGTGTGGCTATTCAGAAAACATAGAACACTGATACAAGTGACTATTCAGAGATCCTAAAACACTGACACATGGGACTATTCAGAGAACATAGAACACAGACACGTGTGGCTATTCAGAGATCCTTGAACACTGACACATGGGACTATTCAGATAACATAGAACACAGACACGTGTGGCTATTCAGAGAACATAGAACACTGACACATGGGACTATTCAGAGATCCAAGAACACTGACACATGTGACTATTCAGAGAACACAGAACACAGACACGTGTGACTATTCAGAGAACATAGAACACTAACACTTGTGGCTATTCAGATCACATAGAACACTAACACATGTGGCTATTCAGAGCACATAGAACACTGACACATGTGGCTATTCAGAGAACATATGGAACACAGACACATGTGACTATTCAGAGAACATAGAACACAGACATGTGGGGCTATTCAGAAAACATAGAACATTGTTATATGTGGCTATTAAGATATCACAGAACACTGACACATGTGGCTATTCAGAAAGCATACAACATTGTTATATGTGGCTATTCAGATATCATAGAAAACTGACACATGGGTCTATTCAGAGAACATAGAACACTGACACATGTGGCTATTCAGATCACATAGAACACTAACACATGTGACTATTCAGAGATCCTAGAACACTGACACATGTGACTATTCAGAGATCATAGAACACTGACACGTGTGACTATTTTGAGAACATAGAACACTGACACATATGACTATTCAGAGAACATAGAACACTAACACATGTGGCTATTCAGATAACATAGAACACTGACACATGTGCCTATTCAGAGATCTTAGAACACTGATACATGTGGCTATTCAGATAACACAGAACACTGACGCATGTGACTATTCAGAGATCTTAGAACACTGATACATGTGACTATTCAGATATCATAGAACACTGACACATGTGGCTATTCAGAAAGCATAGAACACTGACACATGTGGCTATTCAGATCACATAGAACACTGACACATGTGACTATTCAGAGATCCTAGAACACTGACACATGTGACTATTCAGAGATCATAGAACACTGACACGTGTGAAGATTTTGAGAACAAAGAACACTCACACATGTGACTATTCAGAGATCCTAGAACACTGACACATGTGACTATTCAGAGATCATAGAACACTGACACATGTGGCTATTTTGAGAACATAGAACACTGACGCATGTGACTATTCAGAGATCTTAGAACAATGATATATGTGACTATTCAGATTATATATAACATTGGTACATTGAAAAGTGAGGATTCTATATCCTGTTCTATAAGTTCGTACGGGTATAGTTCTTGCGATCCAGAAAGAAATGTTCAACTAATCACAACAAAATTAGGTCCCAAACAATCTGTCACCGAGACCGACTTGCAAAGCCACACAAGAAAACCTTACCTACCCCACCTTCAGCAATGTTTGTGTCTGTGGTCAGTACAAGATGTGGTGAGTTGTCATGTCACTAAGCTTTGTCCAGTCCCGATCCCTGACCAGCCTCCAGCCGGGTTCACTATCCTCGCCGTGATGTCGGGGACACTGTCGTAACTGCACACATCCGCTCCAACCATTCAATTTTTATATACTAATGACACTTAATGTTCTAGGTACGCAACAGCGCATGATTGATCTTCAAATGTCGTGTTTTTAGTCCTGGCCGGAGAGTGAGTGATGTGTTCTCGCGGTGAGATCCCCTAGCCCCCTGACGTAGTTCTACAACTTGGTCACGTGACACATGCGTCTACTCTCACGGTGTATAATCCTCCCATTCATGCTTTTTGCGACTCGTGTGCGCATTCTGTTAGCGATTACCATTCCATCGAGCCAGGGGAACGGTGTCGCGCCAAACTGAACGTGCAGTCGGCACGTAGACGGAACAATTGACAACCCCGGATATGTAATGAGGGGACAGTTAATTAGTTTACACCGAGCAATGGCGGTGGGACGAATCTAGATTGCCCTGGTGATAGGCGGTGTACAGACGGACGATAGGTTAACACGGGTCAACTGGAATCAGTCTCCCAGGTGGACGAGATGAGTAGGTCTAGCACACCCCTCCAGAACACGTACATACATTCACTCCACTCAATACCACACCGCTCTAGACCATGTACACATATATAGAATAAAGAAGTTGTATATCCATAAAAATAGTCCTCATTCTTCATCTACCCAACTTCTAGAATGCCAATCAAAGAAGTCATGTACACATAAACTCACTCCAATCTACACCATGTACTCTTTCTGCTCTGGACCATGACTTTTTGTATTTGTACACATAAACTCACACGTATGGTGTCGTAATATATTTCTTTTCCAGTAATACATTCCGTGTGTGGTACATATTGTGTTGCAGTAATCAATGCCTTGTGTTCCTGTCACTTTGTTCTGTCATTATGGATTGATGCGACATGTTCAGGAGGGTGCACTATAATGCATTTTTCAGAGACGCAAATGCACATGGGTGGAATCGGATTTCCCCCGGGGCGATCCAAGCATAGCTGTGCTTGTAAATATGAATTCCTCAATAGAAACAAATAAAAAGGTCTGATATTAGGGTTTAAACGGAGTGCTCGCCGGGCAGTAGTATAAGGGCCTTTATAGGGTCAAAATCTATTTTTAGAATAGGCCCCTGGTAACAGGTTATATTTAGACTATGAGTCATGTCAACACCTGGTGTGTCTATTTTTAGAATAATAAAAGGTCCCCCCGAACAGCCCTCATACACAGTTTCAGTCACTACACCTAGTGATTACACATTATACTACCAGTGTTCCTTTTGCAACCCTAGTGACTACAGTTACTGGGTGTAAAGCCATTCTTGGTTTAGACGCGGTACTGTGCGGACGTGTTACCATTGGTCTGGGATATCATGGATGTGTGTGGACATTACCCATTCGACAAGACTGTCGTTGCCGATTGCTGTGCAATCAAGACTGAATGGACTTCATTCAAGAAAAGACTCGATTCGTTTAAAGACTGGCCAGTGCAGATGAAACAGAGTCCTAGTCACATGGCTCAGGCAGGATTTGTGTACTTAATCAGAGGGGACGCTTGCAAGTGTTTTCAATGTGGTCTCGTTCTCAAGAACTGGGAAGTAGATGATGATCCCTGGGCCGAACATGAAAAATGGTCTCCTGATTGTCCGTATTTGGCCCTGGTGGGAGTACCTCAGAAAGAGGTGACCCGTTGGGGTAGTCATGTGGATTTGCAACCAAGAGTGTGATGTAAAATGTGTGACTATTGGAAATAAATCAATGTTAAGAGTATGTCTGCCTTGGTTGTCTATGGATAGTATAAATAGAGGTTGACTCAAATACTAATCTCACTGAGATCCCAACCACGATAAGAGTTTGTTTGCTAGAAATAGTATGGCTAGGTACGTGTTAAAACATTACGAATTTTTAAGGTTCATGTTAATGTTTCAAGACATTGAGGAGATTCGACAAGACATCTTAGAAATGAACAGAGAACAGATTATCGCCATCAATGGTATTATCAATAGGTTATTAAAGGAAGATTACCAGTGACTCGATATGAAAGGCCGTTTCCTGAGGAAAACTGATAGAAATAACTATCTAGCGGTGTTACGAAGATTAGTTCACCCCTGTGGACGACAGACAGTAGGTGGAAGAGTCTTTTTGCCAGTAACATGCCAATCGTAGCATTTGTTTTGAAACCACAGTTTGTCAATGCACTTAGAGATGAGGCCATTCAAAATGCCTGGTTGTTTGACAGAGCATCGGCTTAGTATGTTTGGTACACCCGGTTTAGTTTCTCATAGTAGTGCATCCGAAACATCCTGGCAGCGATGTTGAAAGCTATACCAAGGTCAATGAAGATATCTGTATAACAGGCCACAAGGGCTATCTAACTTTATTTAGCCGTGGACCAGCGACAGTGACGCATCACCTCAGGCCGCTCCCGTTTTCATCATGAATAATCCACGATACAAACTCTTCGTACCGGATGCCGAAAAATGGACACGATTTTACATGCTCAGGGCTGAAGGGGAAAGGGGACCCTTATCATTCCATAACACGTGGAGGAGAAAAATCTGCCATGTTGTCTGTCGATCGATATTTGGAACTGTATGATCCAGAGTGGAAGAAAGACAAACAAAAAAACCAGAAACCACAGAGCAGCCTAAGATTAATTTCGTTACCCCTACTCAACAAGTGGTCGAACAAGCCAAGGCTCTTATTCAGATGCAGCAGAAAGGGGAATCTAAAGTTGGAAGTTCCTCCCAGTTTCCCATGAAGAAACGGAAGACGACTTTTTAGATAAAAGCAGTCTAGGACATGGTTCCCTGCCATTTAGACTCGGACCACCATGCAGTCAACAACGTGTCCTGTGTGCTATCAGCCGTTTTCCAGAAGGGATGCCATGCTTAGACATCTCAGGAATCAACACAGACAAGCAATGCAGCCCCCACAGCCTCCACCACCACCACCACCACCACCACCACCACCACCTCCACCTCCACCTCCACCACCACCTCCACCACCATCTCCACCTCCACCTCCACCTCCACCTCCACCGTCAGCACCAACACCACCACCACCTATGATGCCACCAGTGCAACCACATGTGGGTGCTTTGGAAGAATGTAGACTGATTCACCCCTTCACCATGATTGTCTCAGGGCCAACCTCCTGTGGGAAAACCTACTTAGTGAAACAGATCCTAGAAAGGATGAACATTAAACCTTATCCTGAACGTATTATATGGCTCTACAAACGATGGCAGCCCTTGTATAATGCCATACAAACCCATGTTTATCCCTATGTGGAATTTCATCAAGGCATTCCTTCTGATCTCGAAAAGGATGCATTTCTAGACCCCCATGTGGTGAACGTGGTTATCCTCGATGACTTAATGTCGACAGCGAGCAAAGATCCACGCATTACAGATCTGTTTACGGAAGGAAGTCATCATCGTAATCTCTCAGTGATCGCCTTGAACCAGAATTTGTATTTCAGTAAGGATCCCACACAACGAAGAAACTGTCATTATCTGCTTCTGTTCAACAACCCTATCGATCAACAACCCATCATGACTTTGGCGAGGCAAATGTATCCAGGTAACACAGACCATTTCATGGAGCCGTTTCAAAGGGCTACCCAGAAGCCTTATGGCTACTTGTTGGTTGATCTAAAACCCCAAACACCTCCCCATAGGCGTCTTTGTCCCAATGCATTCAGTTTAAAAGGACACCTCCAAGCCAGGACAGTTCAGTCCGAGTTAGATGTTCAGCGTGAGCAGACGTGTGAAGAAAACCTCTCAACCATGCCATCTTGTGATGACTGTGGACTCATGTTTCAAGATGTGCAAGATTTGCAAAAACACAGAAGAAACTGGTGTCCCGAAAAGTCTTCAGTGGGTCCTCCTGGGATACCCCAAGTGAAAAGGCAGTGGGTGGAAGACAACAACTTCTCACCTGTGAAGAGACCACGTCCTCTGGTGGACTGTGACTATTGTGGTCAAGTGTTTAGCACTAACCATAACTTACAAAGGCATTTACACGATAAACAATGTCCTGAAATGGAAAATGAGGACGATGATGTTGAATCATTAAGCGATGTCACACACAACAGGAAAAGTAAGATGGCTGATCTGGAAGAGCAAGGTATAAGACAAATGTATTCACGTACGCGTGAGCTGAATAAAGACTTTTTGGATGAGAAACGACAGCTGTACATAAAAAGAGGTTTAAACGAAGACATGATTCAAGCCAAACTGAACAAATTGATGTGGAGCACGTTTAAAGAGACGTATGCCCGATTTATTACTTATCTGTACCATATGCAGTATGGTCCAAAGACACAAGGAATACTGAAACAAGTAAAAGACACAAATAATATGTATCATGAAGTGATTTCAAAATTGTACCAATATAAGTCTTGGGTCGAAGGCATGACCGAAGATGAAGACATAACATCTGATGAAGAGAGTGAAGGGCAGGTGGATGATGATGAAGGGTAATAAGACAACAGATGTAAAGTAGGCATTTGGGAGAGCTCCTATCCTAATGTCTACTCATTCGAAACGGAGCTAATAAACAATGAAATCTGTATATCTCTCTTGTTTCTTAATGTATTGTACCTCTGGGTTACCCTTCAGTAACTCATGCTTGTCGTAAGAGGCGACTAACGGGGATCGAGTGGTCAGGCTCGCTGGTTGACACATGGCACGTGGTGTAGAATGACGCTCATGCTGTTGATCACTCGATTGTCTGGTCCAGGCTTGATTATGTACATTATGTACAGACCACCTCCATAGAGCTGCTGAGAGTGTACTTGACTCACTGAATGTATTGCTGTAGGATTGACATAAGACAACTCTTGTGCAATTCTTGGTTTTTTATAGTACCAATTTCAACCCTATTTCACTGAATCCACAAATATGTTTAACCTCCTCATACTAGTATCAGACATACAAGTTTCAGTTTAAACGTCATTCCTGTTGATTGAATACAAGATAACCACTGTTTCAGTTCATGGTATTGAAGATAGCCACTGTTACAGTTCATTGTATTGAATACACCAACAATTTTAATGATCTGTAATGAATATATTTATATATATATAAACGGTTTATAAATACATAAGCTATTACAAATGGTCACTAGTGTTGTAAAGCCATTTTTGGTCTACAAAGCCGTTTTGGACATGT